GCATCTAAAATAGCGCAGTAGAAGCCGTTCTTCCGGTTAAGCCTTAATGCTCTCCCTCCCCCCCCCGCGTTGGAATTTCGAAAAATTGATCAATTTAATACACCTAAGTACTCGATGAAGACTAAACGCAGATAAAAACAAAAAATCGCATCTAAAATAGTTCAGTAGAAGACATTCTTCCGGTTAAGCCTTAATTCTCTCCCCCCGCGAGGGAATTTCGAAAAATCCCTTCTTAGTGTGCGTTTCCATGACGTACCCTAACTGTCTACCAAATTTCACCTCTTTAGGTTAAGCGGTTTGCTCTGGGCGATGATGAATCAGTGAGTGAGTCATTCAGTCAGGACAAGCAATTTTATATATTTAGATAGATAGGTAGATAGATGCAATAATAACAAAATTTTTGTGGGGGGGAATGATGAACTTCACATAGTAGTATGATTACACTAGAGCAGTGATTCTCAAAGTGGGGGTCGCAGAAAAATTGACGACAAATTTTTTCACGATATTTTATAAATTTACTATGGATTCATGTTTAGAAGTACAGTAGTAGATTCTTTTTGGCTTAGTGTGAAAGCACAGTATCCACTACTCTGAATTAGCAATGGCAGTTCTCTTACCATTTGCAACCACTTATTTATGCGAAATGGCATTTTCAAATGACCAATGCTATTAAAATTATGAGGTGTTTCAATGCAATTAAACAAAAGAAATTAACTCCTCCTGAATTTAAATTAATCTACCCCTTCGGGATGTTTTCCTACACATACCTATTCTTCAGGGGGTCCTTTGAAATTTTTAAGTGCAAAAGGGGGTCGCGGACCAAAAACTTTGCTCTGGGCGATGATGAATCAGTGAGTAATTCAGTCAGGCCAAGTAATTTTATATATTTAGGTTTCACATTTCCCAAATTGTGTGTGTGAATCAATTTTAACTTTAGAAAAATATGATATTACGTCCACTGAATTACGCGATGCCATTAATTCATTGAAAGCTAAACTTGAATGTCGGCTAAAAGATAACTTTTTTGGATGCACAGTTAAAAATAATTTAAAAAACTTCAGTAATAGTCAACAAAAGAAATTTATTTTGGATGCAAGAGAAGTTTATGATCGTGCTTTAACTTACATCCACAAATATTACAACGTCCTACGTACACGTTTTCGCGTTGAAAACGTCGGCCGCAACCTCTCTAATGACTTCGCAGTTATATCTTATTCAGAGACAATGCCTCAGTTAATTATGGAAAGAACAATTTTGTTTTTCAAAAATTAAGTTAAATATATATATTTTAAAGGCGAATTGTTTATGTCATGTTATTCACAATGCTTAAGTTTGCTTAAAAACTTCAGTAGTAGTCAACAAAAGAAATTTATTTTGGATGCAAGAGAAGTTTATGATCGTGCTTTAACTTACATCCACAAATATTACGATATTAAAATATTTAAAAAACAAATTTTAATGAAGGATGAATCCGGAGGCAAAGCTGAGGACTTTACAGGAACGAAAAGAAAGATATTTAAAAGACATACAATTTTTGAAGTGCCATTTACGTGAGATCACTCCAAGAACACTCCAATTAAAGAAATCGATACGAAAAGGCATTAATAGACAGGATATATGGAAGATACAGAGATTAATACTAAAATCAGTAATAAACAAGAAAGGTAAATTGATTAACTATGTAAACATAAATATTAAAGAGTTAAAAACTAAATTAAATATTAAAGATAATATAAAATATGTGAAAATAATAATATTAGATATATAAAAAATAAAAATAAGAAATTAGGTAAATTATCCATTAGAATCAGAATATAAAGCATGGCAAGAAAATTTAGTGGTAAATTTAACTGATAAAGAGTATCCCAGATGATTATATGCGTTTCCTGTCATATGGTGTTGGTATGAACTTGCCGTATTTTGATAAAACATTAAATACTATAGCAGATATAGAACTGGTAATATCTAGAAGCACTTAATAAAAAAGCAAATGAAGAAATAAGGATAAAGATTGCTGAGGATTTAAAGAAATTTAATACAAAACAAGGATATATAATGGATAGTAAGGCTAACCAGCTTATAGGTAAATACGTATAATAGATTAAGAAAATTCCTTCAAAAATCTAATTTATGTATTGTTAAAGCAGATAAGTCGCAACAAGTTATAATAATGAATTTACAAGATTTGAATGGAAAAAACAAGAAATCATAAGAGAAGGAAATTTTGAAGAATTAAAACAAGATCCAACAAGTGATATATAAAAATCATTGAAGAAAACTCTAGAAAAATTACAGTAGAGCCTCGATTATCCGACCTCCAATTAACCGACACCTCGGTTAACCGACCGTCCTAGTCGGCAAATTTCAAATGTCCGCTAGTGATGTGGCGCTACAATATTTGACTATGTCTTGGCTACTTTAATATTATTTTTGCGTGTTTTAGCTGGCAACACTCATTCGACCATGAAATGAAGCCAGTATTTAAACGAGGCTTAATTTTCTAATTTTTAACGATACAATAGCGACGATTATTATTTTAAAAAATTTTTGTTAGGCTTAACATCGATGAAAATTCAACGCGAAGTAAGTTAATAGCGATATACTAATATACTAATTACATGGGATATAATAATATACTACACTAATAATGGATTTTTTCATACTTTTCGGTTATCCGACTTTTCAATTATCCGACCAACCCCAGTCCCCAATTGGGTCGGATAATCGAGACTCTACTGTAATGGATTTTTTCATACTTTTCGGTTATCCGACTTTTCAATTATCCGACCAACCCCAGTCCCCAATTGGGTCGGATAATCGATGCTTTACTGTAATTATTTTGAAGACAAAATCCTTGCCAAAAAAATAGGAGCCACTATTTATTACTTTGTGTTCCAGACATTATACTTTTGGCGACTGACCTTTTCTTTTAGGCTACTGGCCGCCAAACAGTCCATTAAAAAACACAAAAATTCCAATTAAAAATATAAACATTTTTAAAAAAACAGGAACTGGTGATGTTCGGACGTCTTCTATTTTCCATCATACCTTCTTGGGGTTGTTTCGGCTTTTATCTAGAAAAATTATCAAAAGAAGGTACTGTTTCGATGGTTGAAAGAAAAATATTACCGAGAGAAAATGTGACAGTGCCAAAATTAAATGTTCGTATTAAGACACGAGCAAAATAAATGCAAACCTACAGTACATTTTAAGATGACATTGTTATATAATTTGTAATTTTTTAAAGAAATCTTTACAGACTATATCAAATTCAGAATAAAAATGCTGACAGTTTAATTTCGAAATTAGAAGCAGAAGTTTTACCTGAATATAGGTTAATGAGTTTGGATATCGTATCAATGTATCCTTCAATTAAAAAAGAAACGATCATACACGTTTACGTGAGTACAATACTCCTACATATTTAATAACATTAGTGACTTTTGCATTGGATAACAATTTTTTTACAGTTAATGGAAGGTATTACCGACAAAGGGACGGAATATCTATTGGTTCAGTTATTGGCCCAAAACTGGCAGAAATAGTCATGATAAACATAGATAAAATCTTGTCACGATTAGGAGGAATAGTATTTCTTGCACGGTATGTAGACGACATATTTATTATATACAATAGTAAAATAACGTCCTCTGAGAAAATATTAAAAAAAGCCAATGAAATTAATGAATATATCAAATTTACCTATGAGAACGAAATATTTGATAAACTTAATTACTTAGATATAACAATAGTCAGGTTTAAAGATCATTTAGTGTATAATAAGTATGAAAAGCCTTGTAATGCAAATAAAGTTATAAATTTTAAATCTTATTGTCCGATTAGCCAAAAAAGAAATATTTATTTAATGGAAATAAGTAAGATCTTTTCTAGAACAAATAGAATTAATAAAAGAGATGAAGAAATTAAAAAGGTAAACAGGAAATATTTGTTAAACGATTACCCGGGAAGATTGTTAAAGAACTGGTACGATAAATATTTAGAGAGCAGATTTCAAGTAAAGAAAAAGCAAGAAATTAATACGTATGTCTCTTTTCCGTACATTAAAGGTATTTTTGAAAAATAGCTAAAAAAATTTTTGTGAAAATACAATTAAATTAGCTCCATTCCAAAAAATAGGTTATTTGGACTAATATGTGGACTAATTTGGACATACAAGGATAAAGAGCTATTGGAAGAAGGAGTGATCTATAGACTCCAGTGTACATGTGGAATACCGAACTATTATGTTGGCGAAACGAAGACGAAACTGAAAGTAAGAATGTGGGAACATCTGGCTGCAGTAAGATTTAAAGTCAATACATCTCCCGTGTTTTTACATTGTCACGCGAATAATTGCCAAGTTGATAATAATGTAAAAATCTTAAATAGGGAAAAAAGATATGGTAAAAAGAAAATTCAAAGAACACTTCGCGATAGTTATGCAAAATAATGTTATAAATTTAAATAACGGCGTGATACCCGCGGAATGCTGGGAAGAGATGATAATACATAATAGTTGTAAACGCGATGGTACTTGTGTTAAAGATGTCTTCTGCTATATTAAATTCTGGCTGTAACGTGTTACGTTCTAGTTGTAGGAAACCCTGCTGAAGAGGCCAAAAAAGGCGAAATGCATATGGGGTGAAGTATAATGTTAAATTAAAAAAATTGTTTTCTCTTAAAGTTAACCTGATTTGTCCTTTTTTGTTTTTATACTAGTCTACGGACTTGGAATTTTTTTAGCCTCCAGAAGTCAGAAAAGAAAGGAAAATTATTTTTCCGTGTACTAGTGAATAGTACAATTGGGTAAAGGAAATACTGTATTACGATTTTGAAAACAGTCCTATAAAAAGCTTAGCAGCATTAAATATAAAAAAAAATATGATCTTCAGTTTTCAGATATTCTAAAAATTGCAATTTTAAATGTAAAAGTTAATGAAGATATTCTATATGACGAAATAATTTTAATTCAAAATAACAATTTAGAAAAACTTCAAAATGAGGAGTTATCAACAAAAAACATATGGGTGTCTATTTTTAAAACCTTGATGTGACTCAAATCAAACAAATTGTTGGTAAAGTTCTAAGCGTACCTGTAAGCAATGCATTTGTGGAAAGAATTTTTTCTATAATGGAATCTGCTTGGAGAAATGAAAGTAGAATGTGAACAGAGCTCATTAAAGCAGAGTTAGGCATTCAAATTAATTTTGACATGGCTGTGAAGCACTTCATTCTTATTTATTTAATAAACATGACCAAAAAAATTATTGCAAGCAGCAAAATCAGAAAAAAAATATAATTTTAAGAAATAAGAAGCATTACAATTATAGTTACTATATAAAATAATGTCGGATTGTTAACTATGCAATACTATATATAAGTATATATATGACAATATAATTGTTGAATAAATAAAATGTTGTGACCATTTTTTTTGGGGGGCAATCCTCCAGGTGAGTAGTTGGCAAATGTTGGCAACCCTAATGATACTGATAAGTGACCCACTTAACATTTCAGGATCTGGTCACTTTATTTATGATTAAAGAATGATAACATAAATCATGTATTGTTACTGCCATTTAATAATTTATACAAACATGAAATTTGTTATTCGTTTATTCGATTGTAAAATTTTAATTATTCTCAATTGTTATAATTTTCAGGTGGTACTTAATTCCCTCCACAAATACAAAACAAAAATCGTAATAGAGGAAATACGACTGGGATGTGCTAACAGAACAGTAGCTACAATTGATTTTCCCATTACTACATTTTATGCTGTGACTGCATACCAAAGTGATGAGGTAAAAAAACTAATCGGTGAAAACCTAAATAGACACATTTTTGAGATGATAAACAACTGCAGTGATTTATAATCTACCTCGCAGCTGAAAGAATTTATACTGTGGCAGAAAAAAAGATTTTCTTTTCAACAGCCACTTAATCCATACTTTATCATCCTGCGCAATGGCAGATTCAGAAATCTCTTTAGAGGAGGGTGCAGGAATGAACACAGTATACTTCATGTAATTTTTTATTACCTGATGTATTTGATTNTGAACTGTAAGACTAAATATCTGCATCCATAATTTTCCAGTATAATAAGTCCTGTTAATATATAGAAAGTACTAGTATACAAAATAAATTATAAACTGATGTATTTGACTTTGCTGGGGAGAGAGAGGTGTGCCTTGCATACTCCCGTAAATTCGCCATTGGCTATGCATAAACTTTACTGTTGAAAACATGAAGAGGAGACTACTAGAACATATATCTTTATTTCAGTAATTAAGTTAAAAAAACTTACTTTACTGTGAGCTCCAAATTCTGTCTATATAGATTTTCACTCCGAGCCTTTGTATGTTAAAACTATTTTAAAATTCAATATATATATAATTTTTTTGCTTACAGGTTAAAAAATTAAAAATCAAACATAATCCTCATGCGAAATCCTTCAATGACCCACGAAGAAGGTAATGTTTTTTTACAAGTTTTAAATATAAATTTTAATAAAATTTAAAATTTCATTTATAAAGTTCTAATTTTTAATATAATAGAGCCTGGGAAGCCTATACTTACCAAAATGATACTGGTATGCCATGTAAGTAAAGACTATAATATTTCTATTAGGTTTTATTAATTAAGAAATTAATTTTAAATATTATGTATAAAATAGATATTTTTGACTGGAACGACAGATCGGGTGTCTGTAACCCTCAACATTCACCGTCAAATTTCACAAATGAAGAATAAGGCGTTTATCCAAGTTACACCTTTGGACTCCGTAACCTTCAACATTCACCTTCAAATCTGACAAATGAAGAACAAGGTGTTTATCCAAGTTACACATTTGGACGAACACCTTGCTTAAATAATTACAGATGTTCAAATGGTGTGATATTTAAATATTATTACAGTACTTTATTGTTTGTAAGGGTCCTTCCTAACTCGTGTGCCTTTATCAGGTTAACGTGATGTGGGCGAACACTCAGCACACTATAATTTTATCCTCTGTTTGGTAGTTTTCTACTACAATTGGTTTTAAATTTGTCTTACATGATTTGAAGTTCATCTTATCATTTGAATATTGTCATTATACAAGATGATCGTACAACATAACCACACCCACTTTGGGACCACACCGTATTACTTAGGAGCCGTGGGAAAGGAGCCTTGTATTTAATTTGTAAGTTATCAAATTAATAAAATAAAGTAATTTATTTCTTTACACACACATTTAATTCGGATGCAAGTTATTGTTATCAGACTCAATCCTCATATATGACATCATATGAATCATCATATCAAAGGTCAAACCAATCATATCAGTTAGAGATGTGGAGATATGAAAATTCCACATAGTAATCCTCAAGAATACTGGTAATAATGTACATTTATTGAAAATTTCCAAGTTTTTGTATTAATCATACTATGCTATTTTTTTCTTTTGCTATGTATACTTACAAAAATTAAATATTTAAATTTAAAGTAATAAAATCACAATTTTATGTTTAAAGTTTGGAAAAGATGAAAANAATGATAAAAAACAGTTGAATAATATAAAGATAATGATGCTGTTTAGCTTCTGGAACTGTCAAGGATTGAAAGAGAAAATTCAGACAAAATTAAAAAGAAAATTTATAGAATCTAATGAAATTGTTGGAATTACTGAGACATGGATAGAAAAATTCAATATGACCGTGTTTTCTTGTTCCAAGTAGTTTATTTCTATTTTAATGAGCAAAGCACATCGAAAAAGCATATTTGGTCGTCCTTCAAGTGGCATTTTACTTTTAATTAAGAAGAGATTAGGAATCATTTTACATTGAAACATAATGAACTATTCAATAATGGTAATGATAAAATTACAAAACGAGCTCAAAGTGTTATGGAAATATCAATATTTGGGGTTAATAGTAGTATATCTACCTCCATCAGTTGAAAAAAACCTATATTTGAAGAAATGCAAATTATCAATCTATGGGTCTGTATGGTTCAATTATGGTTGATCGGTAATGACTAACTCATGAATTGGAGAATATCTACATACAAACGTATTCCAAGACTATGAAAATATTAGGAATAAAAGACAATCAAAAGATAAAGTTCTAAACTCTGATGGTAAAACCTTATTGGAATTTGCACAAGATAACCAATTGATAATTTTAAATGGAAGGAGATATTCCGGCAGAGTTCACCTATATTTCACAGAATAGAAAATCAACCATAGACTATTTGCTGTGCTCAGAAGCTATTTTTATTTTTCAGAAGCTTGAATTTTGCATGACCCTGTCAGTCTTAGATATTGACTCCTCTGATCATTTCCCAATACAGCTTAAGATATCTGAGAATAAGGAAAAAAGAAAGAACACTAAAAAATATGAACACACATAGTATTTTAATATAAATTATAGTTCAATTTATAATAAACAAAAATGGCTTAAAGAAGCTACGTCTACAACAGCTGAGTTGTTGATTTTGGAGGAAGAGAATAATCCGATAGCCAATTATCAGAGATTACTAACTAAATTAACAGAATGTAAATTTAAAAAATGTAACACAAATTATAAACAATGATATAAAAACGAATGGTTTGATAGTACTTGTTATTATTATAAAATGAAAAAACAAAAAGGGCCTGAAAGCTTTTAGAAAGTTTAATACAATAGAAGCATTAAGGAATTATATTAAAAATAAAAAAATCTATGTAAATTATTTAGAGCCAAGAAGAAACTATATCTGTCAAACATCAATAAGATTAATAGAATCAAAGGATACTAGGGTTTTTTGGAGGACTATCAACTCTCTTCGAAAAAAAGAGGTCTGATCTTTATATACAAAAAAATAATTGATCACAATAAATGGGTTAATTATTTTACAGAGTTTTCTGATGAGTACTTGAAGAATCAAGAAAACACTTCCCTAGATTACATGAGATCTATCCAATTGAACCAGAATGAAATAATAAGAATAGATGAGATTCAAGAACATATTGGTAAATTAAAAGTTAAGTCTGCACCTGGATCAGATGGAATCTCTAACTCTTATTAAATTGTTACCCATTGAACTTACTCACTATCTCACTAGGTTTTTTAATAAAATATATTTATATGGTTTAATACCAACAAAATGGAACGAAGTGATATTTACAATGATTTTCAAGCAAGGAAATAGAGACCCAGCAAACTATAGACCAATAGCTCTACTGTCCAGTTTTTGAAAAATATTTACAGCCATATTAGCAGAAAAGTTTAAAACGTGGATAGAATCAAATAACTATAAAAATCCAACACAATTTGATTTCATAAAAATGGTGGAACCAAAACTGCATTATTTGCCTTATTGTCAACAATTCAACTCCAACTGTTAAAGAAAAGACAAAGTGTTTGCTATGTTTCTGGATTTGAAAAAAGCATTTGACTCCATTAGTATAAAGTTATTACAGAATAAATTGAGCAAATATAATGCAAGTAAATATTTGATAAAAATGATAAATCTATTATATGGAAACTATGAAATTATTATTAAACAAAATAATAGTTGCTGTGCACCTTTTACAACCAATAGAGGTTTACTACAAGGCAATCCATTATCTCCATACTTGTTTAACTTTTATATATGACCTTAACAATTGTTTTAGAAATGAAGATGATGGAATTTATGTTGATGACAATTATACATACAATATCATGCGCTGATGATATAGTTATATTGGCTCCTATAGCCACAGCATTACGAAGAAAACTTCAACAGATAATTATATACTTAGAAAACCTAAAAGTCAACATAAACCCAAAAAAATCAGAAGTTATCAGAATGATCTTTAGAAATTTTTGTTGTCATTTTTCGTTTCGTTGTCAAAATTTTGAATATAGAAATGCATTCACATAGAAATGTTGTTCACATTTCGTTGTCAAAATTTTGAATATAGAAATGCATGTCTTTTTGGCGGATTATTACCATTTCGGTAATAATCCTCCAAAAAGACATATGCATTTCTATATTCAAAAAGAAGAAATAAAGATAATAAATGAAAGTAAATTTCTGGGTATAATATTCACTCCTAATCTGTCTTTTGACAAACATTACAAGAGTATAATAAATAAGTCAAAAAATCTTATTAATAATTTATTATTATTCTATAAAATTAAGACGAGATGTAAAAACTCAATTTCAACTTTTTAACTCTATAGTGATAAATGCCTTGTGTTATGTAGCCCCAATTTGGAGTCTAAATAAATTTTATTATTTAGAGAAAATTCAAAACATTCATCCATAGAATATTTCAGCTTGAATATAATATTCCAGGGAGTGCACTAAGTTTAGAACTTATGAGAAATAAACTAAATACAATTCTAATTAAAAGATACTTAACATTTTTACAAAAAATAGAGAAAAATTTGACAACAAAATTACTACTTTTATTGCATAAAAAATCAAAGGACAAAGATAAAATGCAATTGGATAATACAAGTAGAGAAAATTTTTAATTCATATGGCTTCTCTATAGAATTAATTTTTGATCAGCTTAAAAACAATGACCAACAAGTAAAACAAGTAATATAGAGTCATGGAGTACTCAATTATACAAGATACTGAAGATATCCAGAAAAGAAAAAAAATATTATAAAATAATTTTTAATTTTCCATTAACTAACAATTACATGATAACAAATCTTGCATTCAATGTTAAGAAATTTTTTATACAGCTAAGGCTAAATCAAAATGGATTGATGATTGGTGACAAATACATAGAATATGCTCAAACCAAGTGCTCACGGTGCAAAAAACCATTATCAAAAGTACTTTTGTTTTTTGAATGCGGCAACAAAAAAAGAGCAGGATTCAAATTTGGATAATGAACAGGACATTAACTATACAAAGAGTATAATAATGTACAAGATATTAGACAAAGCAGACATTAATGATATATATATAATTTGTATAATCAATTGAGAAATTCTAAAGAATAAAATAACATTCAAAAAATAAGGAATTCAATATGTCAAGAACTAATAATATAAAATGTTATTTATACTTTTTGATCCTGTTATCAAATTTGTATATTAAACACCCCCTGTAACAGACTAATGCCTTATACGTCAATAAACTTCATTTGATTAATCGAAAAAAAACTCTTCAAAATAAATAATTTAGAGTTAAATGTCTATTCAATTTAATTTCTGACAATCCTAGCTGTTGTTTTAATTCTAGTCCTCCTATCAATCTCATACTGTATTGTTATAATAGAATCTAGAGTATTTCTCAATAACTTGTTAATAGTAAGCCTTCCACAGATGTGGTTTTGCATCTTTTGCAAATGAACAGTGGATATTCATTAACAATCAGTATTGAATATAAAAGTAGTTTTTATTTCAACGAAATTACTGTACTTCAAAAAATTTAAACCAAACTTTATGATTTTATCCATTTTCAATTGTAAAAAATTGAAAATATATACAGATTTCTATCTTGTTGAACTTTTATTTCTTCAATGCAGCCAAAAAACTATTTGTAAAGGCAAAAGATATTCTAGATTAATGTTTCATGATTGCTGTGCCAAAGTAAAACAATACTCTGTGCCAGCAATGTTTTGGAGAATGATCTATATGTAATTTTCTAAGTTCCAAGAAAAAAATATACAGGCCTACAGGTGTTGAGAGAAAAAATAAATAAATCAACAGGTACCGGCGTTAAAGGGCTTTTTTAATTGTTAGCGCTTTCGATATTCCTATAAATATCGTCGTCAGACAACTCAAATAGAATGCTTTTTCAGAACAACACTTTTGAAGTACAGATTTG